CAAATGCTTGGTAAGTGTTAGATTTTTCCATACTCCAGATAATAAAGGAATCTCTGAGGAGAGGAAGAGAGAAAGAGTTAGAGGAAAGCAAGAGATGTCAGATGTTGCTGTGAGGCCCTGAACCCTCCACCAATCTCTCCACAGTCCGAACTCAGTCTCACAAGAGACGAGTGACAAACATCCCTTTAGGTATAGGGGTCCATGGGTCATCACTGCATTTTGACATTTGGGGTGACACAGGACAATAGAGTATAGCAACATGGGTGTTAAAGGAGAGAGGACATGACGAATATTCCATACTGCCAGACAGGCATAGCGGAGACAGTCAATGCAATAGGAAGACTCCTGAAGGAGTCTTGCAACAGTAAGGACGTGGCAGTGGGTGACACCATGGACCGTGCAAGCCAATACCAGATAAAGATGTATCTCTCGGGCAACATTGATATGAAGAGATCCTGGGAACCTTAGGAGATAGCTGCATCAAGGGTGACAAAACTAACCAACAGACATATGATGACCAGCAATGACCAGTTATGACCACTGATGAGATAACTGTACATCTGAAAAGATGGAAGTGTAGGCACATCAGTGAACGTCCCCTCCTTTGCTGCAGCTTGGCATAAACTTACATTCAACTACAGGGAGGAAGGGAAGAGGAAAAATTCCTGAATGTGACTCAATATTCAAAAGTGAAGTGCTTGACTTCTGATTTTGAGTTTGTTGTACCTAGATGGAGCTTTCTGTCTTCAGGTCTCAAAATGTAAATTCCATTTAGAATTAGGAAAATAGAGAATTATTTTTTTTAAAAAAATCTTAATCAGCAGATAGTGAAATATTTTATATCTTTTACATGCACAGTTTCTCTTCCTAATGGAACCTTGTGCATCTTGGAAAGCAAGCAGAGAAAATCTTCTGGAGCCCTGCCACCCCCACCTTCAGAGATGAAGACCAGGGATGGGAGAGAAGGAAGTCGCTTTATCTAACCCCTTTGCAACACAGTTCAAAGACATTCAGAGGTGACAGGCCCAGCATTTCAAGGGCAAGGACAGCTTCAAACAGAAGCCGATCGTCTTCCCAAACGTAACTTCCTTGAAGGCAGGTATTTTTTAAATTCCTCAAAACCCAGAGTCTAGACCAGTGCTTGGCAAACAACACATACTCAATAAATATTTGTCCATAAAGAGTGGCCTATATGGCAGCAATTCTTTCAGTTGCTC